CTTCTGCTTCTGTCTGCTTCTTCGTCATGGCCAGTTTCGCTGACCACCTCAGGCGGTGACATTCTATCCCTGTATATTCCGCCTTTTTGTGCTTTTATCCATGTAAATACTCTGTCTGTCGTTCGTTCATTCACTACATGTACCCACCCATCATCATCGTCGTCGTCGTCGTCGTCACTTGTTCTCGGACCCGAGAGATATGCTGGCGCAACCGTTGTCTGTCAATCCTCCTGATGCCTGTTCCTCCTGGTTTCTGATTAGCTCTCTTTGCCTGCCGGGTTTTCATTTTGTTGTTCTTGCATTTGCATACGCATGAGGCGTTCGAGAAGGCGAATCTAGTTCCTGTACCGCGGAAACTAATAACAACCTCCACTACTACATACTACATACTACCTACACTACGTCCTTCATCTGCCCACTCTATCCTAATCCTTCTCATATATTATTTTCTACCACTCTCCCTCCCTATATCTGTCTATTCAGCCTTCCAGATAATTACCTGTCATCTCATCCTTACCTACTCAGCTATAATAGATGGCTAGTTAAGAGTCTACTTACTCCCATCATCGAAACTTCTGTCTCATCTCGTGTTGCAGAGCATCCTGCCAGGCATGAATAGAACAACATACTGTTCCCTCTCCTCTTTATACTAAAGGCTATTGCCTGCTTCAAGCCGTTCTCTGCGACTCCTTTCGCCTCGCCAGCGCCTCAACCCATACAGCAGATCCGATCAGCCATTCTCCTGAATATCACATCCTACATATATAACCTCTTCCCTATGACTCGAATGTCGTACCAATGCACTCTTCGGGATGACGGCAGTCTGCCCCTCCTGAGCCATTGTGTTGCGCAAAAAAGCTGCAACCTTGTACATGACAATATCCCCCGTTCGGCCCGAAACCTGACCTCTACTGAACCCTCTCCAAACGCCTCTATCTCCCCTTTCCCCTCCTCTTCTTCTTCTTCGACCTCTGTTCTCAGTCCCATGGCGGCTGCTCCGCCAGAGAGTTCTGTCTTCTCCCTACTCAACGGCATCAGCCCTCGTCTGGCGGTAGAGGAACTCGAGGTTGTTCCTTCGGCTCGACTGCAGCGTCTTTATAATGTCAAGGTTACAGAGGGCCCAAATCTTCTATTGGCGCTACCCCCACCTGCGGTTATACGGTTGCTACGCTCTGAGAAGTCGACCCTTGGTACTGAAGCTGCTGTGCTCAAGTGGCTTTCCGCTGTTGCGAGAGAGAGGAAAATCTGCTCTAGCGCCGGAGCTCAAGAAACTACAAGCAGGACAGTTGAAACCCCTGTAGTGAATGAGACCAATCCTCGATTGTTGGCCGGATACTTACCTACCCTTGTTCGGCATGAGTCTATTGGTGGTGTACTACCTGTTGAATATAACCTCATCCGACCGCCAAGGGGCACTTCCATATCCACACTATCAAGACCCCTAGACTCCCGTGAGCAATGGTCAGTGGACTTCCAGACAGGTCAACTACTCCGTCGGATATCTAGCCAGGTTTCACCGACCAGCAGATTTGGTATTGCCGCTGATGTTCTTTCAGTACCTCCTTCAGTTGTCCATCACCCACCACGACGTTTTGAAGGAAGCTTGACTGAATCAAAGGGTGCCGGCTCCTGGAGAGTAGCATTTCATAGTCTGCTGGAATCGGTCCTTCGAGACGGAGAAGACTTGACCATTATGTTTAATTACAACAACATCCGACACCATTTCGAGCGTTTTCAGCATCTGCTTGATGCAGTAACGAAACCGCGACTTGTTATCTTAGATGCCGGCGAAGACTCCAATACATTAATACACCGCCCATACGATAGCGAGGAGAAATCTATACTCCCTAAAGAGGTGCAGCCACAACCGAAATTAGGAAAAGGGGTTTCGAGAAAATCAGACAATGATGGAAAGGTGCGACAAGACTGCAGGATAGTCTTCCAGGATGATACCAGCAGAAAGCAGGAATATATGATAACAGACGAGCCAAGCCAAAACCCCATCGAACTAACTGGTTTACGACAGTGGAGTAACTGCGTATTCGGTGATCCCCTCATGGCCACCGTCTTCAGCAAACGACCAAATCTCTCAGATGACTTCTGGCGAGGGTTCGACAATCCACTGCCAGGTGAAACGACGGCAAGCCTCATCGAAGATCGGGACAATGCACACATTCGCATGCTGCTCTACGAGTGCTATCACGCGGTGGTCACTCTGGTGGGAGAGTACTACAGGCCACAAACCGACAGCAGCAGGCGAGAACTTGCGGCTCGAAAACATCTCGGCAATTTGTTGGCTCGGCTTGAAGAACTTGACGATCGGGGCCAGCAGCGACGTAGGCGTATTAGTGGTGAGATGTCACCTGCGAAGAGACCGCGCTCTGGGCAGGAGAGCGACGAAGAGAGCGAGCCTTGATTATATACGACCATATTTACGGGCCACTAGCTGTCGGTGAGCTACCTATACGAGTAATACACGAATAGACACATATTATGATCACCTTACTGAAGCATTATTGAATGCAATAATCATATCTCGTGAACAAGATGAGCAACATGTCCATTGACAAACTATGCTCTTGCTTTTCCCTTCCCTTTTGCAGAATCATTGCCAGCCTCTTCATCCTCCTTCTCATTCTCATCTTCTTCGTCTCGTGGCAGTTGAAAACCCATCATACCCAACAAGTTACCAGTCGGTCCAGCCATGCCAGCCTGGCTCTTGAAGCTTTCAAGTAAGTTCTTTGCCAGGTTGTAGTCAATATCGACTTCGTCATCGCTGTTCTCTTCTTCTTCTTCTTCTTCTTTGATGTCTGCCAGGCTGCTCCCTCCCTCCTTTTGAGTTCCATCCTTCAGACGGGTTTGCTTCTCGACAGGGTCAAGCTTGAGCGCACCATGCTCGTTGAGCTCTGCTTCGAACTCCGTGGTGAGCTTCTGGATCTCTTCGTCCTCTTCGTCAATTACAGGCGGTTTGGGCTGAGTCGCGGCCTTCTTTGTCGTGCTTGTGCTTGAGACTGTGGATGGTAGACCCATCATTTCTCTCATCATCCTAGCGAACTCCTCCTCGTCAAAGCTAACCTCCTTGTCCTCCGAGTCACTGTCTTCGTCGAATTCGTCGTCGTCATCATCGTCCTCGTAATCCATTTCATCAAGTTCTGCGCCGTCCATTCCAGCACTGTCATCATTCAGGAATGCTTCAAAGCGAGACACAATCTTGCGAAGATTAGATTGTGTATTCGCATCTCCAAAACCTGACTTGTAGTTGGGGGAAGCGTTTTCTCTTTTGCCATCCAATTCCTTCTCGAAGTCTTGGTAGTTGATGTCCATCCATGCTTCGCTATCGCCACGATCGTTATCCTTCCATGATTTGATCTCTTCATCTGAAGGGAGAGCCTCGTTGCCATCCTCTGCGAGGTCCTCAAGTTCGATAGCAAGCTCACGGACAACTCTAATTTTACTCTTTTCAGCCTTCGCAGCCAGCATTTCGAATCCACATGTGAGTTTCATCCCAATATCCAATCTCGCCATGACTGTGTCTGCCTCGCCTGAAGGTGCTACTTTCAGCGCTTTCCGAAGGACTTCGCTCCAGCTCGGCGGGGCATCGAACCGTTGGGATCGCAGTTGGGCGAAGAGCACCTTGCTAAACCTGACAGATACTGTGATGAGGTCTTCTGGAGGGAATGTTAATGGTTGGGTTGGTGAGATGACACGTTTCAGGGCTATCGGGTCCCGGAGATAGAATTCTTCGACTGCTGGTGCAACCGATTTAGGGAGGGAGTGGAGGATATATGCTAACTTCCTCGGTATCGCGATGAGAGAATGGTGTAGAGATTCACTGATCTGCCCTGGGTACTTTTCAAGTCTGTAGAAGGCTTCGGCTTCGACGAAACCTGAGTGAACAAGTGCATTACGTTTCGTTTTAATCACTTGGACTGCATCTGGTAATTCAAGATTGCGAGCTCTGAGGCCCTTCTCATCTTTGACTGGGATAAGAAGAAGGTTTCCTTTGTTGATCCAGGCTCGGTTGTTGTCAATCTCGGGATTCAACCACCTGGGTAGCACATTGGCTGCTTCGACCAGGAGGAACTCGCCGTCTGTGTCAAATACCCGTACCCAAAGGTTGGGGTGGGACTTTGATAGTTCTCTTAGTATGTATACGATGAGCCATTCGTCTTCTACGGCATCACTATAATCAGTGATACCATGGAGGTACAGCAGTCCTATCCAAGATGTTAGTAGGTATGTATCTTGGAGGTGGTGCAGGGATGACACTCACCGTTTTCGTTTTTAAGAGTCAGGTTGAATTCATCTTTTTGCCACATGTAGTTTTTGGTAAGTGTGGTAGCAAGCTCTATGGCCGACTTTCGAACATTCTCGATATGTGCGAGCTGTTTGCGAACATCGACTTGAGGGTCTATGAAAAAAAGAAGATATTCGACACAATTATCTGGCAGCTGATTCTTGAAGTTTGCCTCTTCCGCATCGCCTGTTTGTGGAGGGAATCCCGCTTCTTCTATGATTGGCGATCTGAACGACATGACTTCTGCACGATGCGATTAATAAACAGCATCTCCTCATGAGTTGTAGAGGGAGGCTTAGGTTGGGGGTTACGAGTTTATTTAATCACCTATATACGAAAGCTACCGGGTAAGCAGCTTACGACGATGCTGGAATTCTGTGTCATTCACGGCAGATCTGCGCTAGTCCCATTCTGGACAAAGTCCCCACTACAAGACACGCTTGTCACGTCCCGTCCACCCCAGACGCGTATAGTGGGATACCTGCCTACCTATCCGTACTTCAGACGTAACTGCCATTCTTTGACCATGTCTGATCGCAACAATTCTTGGTAATACAGATTGAACAGTCCTTGTCGCCTCTCGTTCTCGAAACTCTTCAAATAAGTCTCTATACCAAAGAATCTAACCCGATTTCCCTACGACAAAACCTAACAGCCTTGTAACCAATCGACCCATCACGAGGCTGCCGTGAGCATCGCAGCCATGGCACCCACCAAGAGATCCCGGCGAGACGTTGAACAAGAGGACGATGTCATAGTAGATGTACGAAAAGCGCGATCTAACTTTTCAAGAGAAGATACCGTAAGGAACACACCAACCGCCGCATGCCGCATGCCATCTAACTCTTGTCCTATTGCAGAGAAAGCGTGCCAGAGTAACCGTAGACGACAGCCAGACCAGAGAAACACCCCAAAGAGAGAACACTCCGAGTGACCAGAGCGAAGATGACGAAGACCGCAGAAATATGGCCGCGCCGCCGCAGACGCAGTACGAGATCATGCGAGACAACGGCTTCAAACATCTGGAGCACGCTGACTGGGACGACCAGCAAGCGACCCAGAAGCTCGCCAAGCGGGTCATCAACCTCGGCAACAATGTGGTATCTGAGAGTGGTATCATCGAGAGCATTACCTGCTTCAACTTCATGTGTCATGAGCGATTACATGTCGACCTAGGGCCACTGATCAACTTTATTGTCGGAGAGAATGGTAGTGGGAAGAGTGCTGTTCTAACCGCACTAACACTTTGTCTGGGTGGCAAGGCTAGCGATACCAACCGAGGTGGAAGCCTCAAGTCCTTTGTCAAGGAGGGTTGCGAGCAGGGTAGCTTGGTAGTCAAGATCAAGAATGCCGGCTCAGATGCCTACCAGCACGATATCTATGGCGACACCATCATTGTTGAGCGCCATTTCTCCAAATCGGGAAGTAGTGGTTTCAAGATCAAGAGCGCTCTTGGTAGAATCATCTCAACCAAGAAGCAGGAGGTAGATGAGATATCAGAATGGTACGCGCTACAAATCGGCAATCCCCTCACCGTTCTGTCACAGGACAACGCGCGACAGTTTCTCAACGCGGCGACTCCAGCCCAGAAGTACAAGTATTTCGTGTCTGGTGTACAACTAGAGCAGTTAGACAACGACTACAGGATGTCACAAGATACGCTTGACAAGACCCTCATACTCAGAGATGATTTAAATGCCAAGATCGAAGAGGTTAAAAAAGAGTCGGAAGCCGCACGCCGGCTAGCCGAAGCCGCGCAAAAAAACAAGAATCTTCGCGAAAAGGCACGGCATTACATCAATCAACTGGTCTGGTCTCAGGTCGTCGAGCAGGAACGTCTCCTCGAGGATTGCGAAAAAGAAATCACTAGACGGACTGAGAGCATAACCGAGGCGGAAAAAAAATGCGAAACATCGACCCAGGCCCTCGAAAATATCAACGAGAGGATTGAGAGGCTTTGGCAGGCAAAGGAAGAGATTGAGAGTGATCGAGATACATTCAAGGAACGCATCGACAACGCCAGAGCTGCTTGCGAAAAGGCGCAAAAGGAGGAGTCAGAGCTGCTCAGAGAGGAAAGAGACGCCTACCAGCGCCTGAAGACAGCCAAAGATGATATGAAGGCCTGCCAGCGCAAGATCCAGGACGAAGAACACAGGCTAGGCGAATCAACAGGAAATGCCCGCACGCAAAAGGACAACGAGCTAGAAAATGCTCGAAAGAGGGAACAGCTCTTGAAGGAACAGATAGAGGAAATTCAAAACAAGCTTCCTGACCTCACAACGCGACTCGGCGAGGCTGAGCAACACTTCAAGAGACTGTCACACAACAAAGAACTCAAACGCAAAGAGATCGTGTCCGTGGAGCAGCGGGTTCGAGAACTCAAGGCCACTACTGGGGGTCGTTTCGACGGTTATGACAGAGAGATCAGGGACCTGGTCAAAGCCATCGAGAATGAGAGAGGATGGGAACAGAAACCCGTCGGACCTATTGGAGCGCATATCCGACTATCAAAGCCGGAATGGTCAGGGATCCTAGAGCGAACACTAGGCGAAGGACTCAACGCGTTCGTTGTCAGGAGTAAATCGGATCAAACGAGACTCGCAAATTTGATGCGCCAATTTCGCCTGAAGAGACAACCCCCAATCTACATTGCCTACGGAGGCAGGATTGACACTAGCAACCAGGAGCCTGATCCTCGATTTGATACTATGTTGAGCGTTCTTCAGTTTGACGACGATATTGTCCGATCGCAGCTCATCATTAGTAATCAAATCGAGAAAATCATTCTCATCCGTGATCGAGTCGAAGCTGAACGGGTCATGGTTGATGTGGCTCCGCGCAACGTGAGCGCTTGTCTCTGTTTTCACGATGGTCGTGGGAAGCGGGGATGGGGCCTCAGACTCACCAACCGGAATGGATCTACTGGTACGAGTCCAGTCCCACCGTACACGATGCGCCCTAGGATGCAAACAGATGCTGGCCAGCAGGTTGAGATCCAAGAAGAAAACCTCAAACACTTGGGTCAAGAAATGGCTGAGATCAATCGCGACGAGCGTCAGGCTCAACAAGCAGTTCAGCGATGCAGAACAGAGCTTGATAATCAACGCGGAAATGTCAAGAGATATGAGGGCGATCTTCGTAGAACGCAAGCTGACATGGAACGTGTGCAAATGGAGTTGGATGCGTTCGATGGCGTTGATGACCGACTCAATATATTGCGAGCTGAGCTTGAGTCCAGACGATCCGAGGAGGAGCAGCTTGGAAATCAGTATGGAGAAATGGGACTGGCGAAGCGAGAGCTCAAGCAAAAGGCCGAGACAGCCCGGCGAAAGCTTGAGGAGGAAAAGAACGAGCAAGAGGACTGGCAGAACCGAGTCGACAAAGCAGCGCAGAAGGTTGCGACAGCTGAAACCACGAGGAAGTCGCTTCTAGCGGAGAAGAATGGTGCCTTTGAGATGCTTGACATCGCCAAAAACGAACGGCGTCGTGCCGAGGAAAAGAGGGATAGGAAGGCCGAAGAAGTTGCCGACTTCACAGAACAGGCCAAGCAAACAGCACCGGAGCGAGTTCACATTCCAGATAACGAGACACACAGCAGCATCGAGCAAAAATACACGAAGATCCGTGAACAAATCAAACAGAGAGAGTCACGACTTGGAGCATCAGACCAAGAGATTTACGACCGCGCACAAGAAGCTCAAGAGAAATTTGAAGATGTTCAGAGACAGACGCAGGATCTTGATGATACCATCGTGGCTCTCAAACGTGCTATTGGGAATCGCCTTGAACTCTGGCGCAAATTTCAGCGGGAGATCAGTGCGCGAATCCGCATCCAGTTCAATTACCTTCTCAGTGAGCGAGGTTTCCGTGGCAAAATCGACCTCGACCATAAAGCTCGCAAGGTCTTTCTCCAGATTGAGCCAGATGAGACGCGTAAAAGCTCAGCTGGAAGGAATACGAAGACTCTATCGGGTGGTGAAAAGTCGTTTTCATCTATTTGCATGCTTCTATCAGTTTGGGAGGCGATTGGCTCGCCTATCCGTTGTCTTGACGAGTTTGACGTCTTCATGGACAATGTGAATCGTGCCATCAGCACGAATATGCTGGTTAGTAACTTTGGTATCCGTCCGTGGAAGAGATCGAAAGCTGCTAACAGAGAATTTGTAGGTGGACGCTGCCCGTCGTTCAGTTTCGCGACAGTACATTCTTATAACCCCTAATGCTATCGAAGGTCGGGCAAGGTTAGACAAAGACGTCAAGATCATTCGGTTCGTATCCCCTCATTCATTGCAAGATTGAGTACTCACGACTCTTTCCAGGTTAACGGACCCTCGTCAACGAACCCTTGACAATTTCCAGTAAACGATGTAGTATACTTGAGACGGGCATCTTGGAGTTGGGCGTCATGCAGAACATGGATTTTTATGGAGGCGCTTAGAGGATGGGCAGGCAAAAGCACTTGAGCATTGTGGAGTTTGTTAGGAGTGATACCAGCGTACTTTGTCGGAATGGATTTTGTACAGATTTGAGCAATGCCTTGCCTTGGCCCTCAGGTAACGCCAGCGTTAGATGCCATTACAGCATGCGCCTGCTGAGGCCCTCTATTCATAGATAATGTTATACACGTCTCATACATTATTTCACAACTATATCTTCCTTTCTGGCCAATCCCCTTAAACTCTGACGCCCTTGCTCCTTAATATATTCACACCAGCGCTGAGTGTGTAACCGGCCCACTGACCGAACGATCCGACCATACCGCCGACGGACTTGACCTCGCCTAGTCTTCGCTGAAGGAATTGCCTTGTCTCGACGAAATCAGGGGATCGGTCGTTGGTCATGAATAGCTCGCTCGTGCTGTATATCATGGAGAGGGTGGCACGCTTGGTGTACCATGAAGGGTCGACGGCCTTGTCGCCGGCAAGGAACCAAATTTCATCGGAAAGTTTTGCTAGCTCCTTTATTGATTCGGGGACGTAACTGGGCTGAGCCATGACGGCCAATGCCTGTAACGCAGAACCGTAAGTAAGTTATAACATGAAAGCCAAGGCATATATATTACCTCTTGCCAACGATCCAGAACCAACTTGTTACCCATAAGCCTCTCCCACGTCAACTCTTCCACTCTCGCCGAGATACCAGGCTGGTTGGGATCAGGAAATAGTTCTTGGCTTCGAGCTGCTAAGGCCTCTCGCTGGGTAACAAGGTGATATCGAATCAGGCCAAAGGCACCGTCGGGGATGACGCTGGCGCTGATGTCAAGGTAGCCAGCGTCTCTTGCACCGCAACCAAGAGCCTTCTGTGAGAAGCCATGTTCCGGGACGTGTTTATAGGCCGCAGTGAGGATGGACTTTTCAGCATCGCCGAATGCTCCTGGTGGTGGTGGATGATCGTATGAGTGGAAGGGTCGGCGGGCAAGGCTTTGTGTCAGCCTCGAAGTACGCAGGGCTGGTCTTGGTAGCACTCTCGTAGACATTGACATACTGAATGATATGGCAAGGCAAGCTACCTATAAATTAGTCTTTATGAAGATTCCTCCTTCATCAAAATGTGTCGTTTTTTTGGTGTTGACGTTTGCGATTTGTTTTAGATGCTTTACCGCCTTGGCCAATCATATTGTCACCTTGCCCCGGAGTGGACCACAGCGGAAGCGCTTGGATCACCCCCGGAAGCTGTAGGTACCTAACCTAGGGGGGAAATAAAACACCGAACTCGAGATTAACTGTATATAGCAAGATATCTACCTAATTATTCTTAATAATAAGTAATTAATAGTATATTAAAAAGTTAAATATCTCTGTAGCTAATACG